AAAAATTCATTTTTCTGCATTTGTTATTTTTTTTTAGTGGTAATATAAAGGTCTTGAATAATCTTGAAAAATCTGCGTAATTTATTGAGGATTTATGAAAATTTTCATGGCAGTCTTAAGCCCATATCCTCACACATCAACGTAGTCGCCACATTCTCTATTATTTGCGTGCATATAATGTACATAGTTGCTCTTCTTTTATTATATTTTAAATCTTACTTTCTATTATATTTTACAACATGTATGGAATGAGCTTACATGATTACTTGGTATGGCGTCTTTGTTTATTGTGGTCATATGTGTCTTCAGGATAATTTCGATTATATTTTCAATATTTTTTTCCTCTGTGTGAGTCAATCCAATTTCACACAATCATACTCAATAATCTTCTGAATAAATAAAACATATAAAACAATGAAAATCATGAAAAAATTTTATCTTTCAAATCTCAATTGACGATTAATAAAGCATTTTTGATAAATATAAAAACAAGAGTATTAAATAAAAAATGTTGACATTTAAATAGAATATATATATATTTGATTTGCAGAGTGAAATAAAAAAGGATTATTGAGCAGAATGTTTCAATTGAATTGATGACGATTGAGCATATAATAATATCAAGTATTCGGATTCCTTCTGATGAATTAATCTTCACAGAAAACTATTCAGTATTATCATCACGCTTATTTGCTCGATAAATTCCAACGTTTTAAATATTATGTTTTTATTGACTACTGATTTTCATTCACTACTGAGTCGGACGACGGAGCTTGATATATTTTTCCCTATTTATCTCACTCGCGTTTTCTCACTCATTGTATATTTAATCAAACTCACACAGATTACGCCATCGTTATCATCATCGTCACGCGGAAGAAGTGCCGAAAGTAAAGTGCATATGAAAGGGATAAGGTTTATATTCAATCACTGTAGTAATTTTCATATTTCTCCTTATATATAACTGGCCTATAAATTTTGTTTTAACCCGTTTCTCACTCTCTTCTCTTTGTCACAATTTAATTATCTCTTAATTTTTTTTTTACAATATATGCGGACCTCCCGGTAGACAAGAAGGTCTGCTCTCTGTATAATTTTTCATTTGTAAATTCAATTTCTCTCGTAATCATTCACTCATTTTAACATTTTCTCATCTCATTCCTACACTTTCTTACTCTCATATTCATTCACTATTTTTCATTTTATTTTGTTTTCTCTATCATCTCTCCGTCTCTAGGATCGGTTTGCGCCGAACGTCTCTCGCCCGTGGCTCCGAACTCAGTTTAATTTTAGGTGGTAATAATTGATCTTGATTTCGATAATTCGAAAATAGATCGTCTGATGAGATCGCGAGATTTTTGGCTTCAACGACGGTCGCATCAAGGACACTTGGCTCCCTACGTATTCCGCACAATTCACAGCTTATCGAAAAAAAATTTCACCCCCTTCCTGTGCTTTCGAAAATCTAAAGACAAGACGTATCATGGTAAAAAATTCATATATAAACATGACATGTAGTTATTATATTCTTCTGTATTGTAGATAGAAAATATTCTGTACAAATTAAACGATATCGGTAATTACTGGATGGTCATTGCCCAGACGGTACGATCGAATTTTCCAATTTCGTGCATCTTCCATGTGGAATGGAGCTTCGATAACTAATTAGTTTTATTATTCTGTTTTATGCTTCTATGTAATAAAATATATATGATATGGAGAACTGGAGTATCGACAGCTTCTCCAAGAATTACGGATATTAATACAACAGCTATGAATAAATGAGTGTGAATTGCAGGAGTATCGACTGCACTTGCATCTGTAAATGAAAACCCGATTTTATCTGTTTATTAACAAGTGTTGAAGAAAATGGAAAATTCGTCGCATTGATATATTAAAATTGTAAAAGTGGATATGAATACCGGAGTAGTCGACGGTTTCATATATCTGTAACGTAACGGAAAATTTATTTTACTTTTGATTCGTCTCGTCTTTATATTCCACACATCACCTTAAACGCGCCTCAATCCTTACGCAAATATTTAGGCTCGACTTATTATTATAAATACTAATATGCGTATCAAGTTTTTTTTTTTATCACACAAAGTGTAAATTCTTAATTAAAAATTTTTTTGTTTTATATACGCATTATTTTTGTCAACAATTTGCGGCGTATAACTTGTTAGTATGGTCGCAATAAATTCAATTTTCTTTTTTTTTTTTTTTTGCTACCATATATTCGCGCATGTATTCACTTGCAGCATTCACTCTCATTCCCTTTCGGGTATTTTATTTTCGCTCCCACGTGAAGTCGGCAAGTCGCGCATATTCCTAAAATCTAAGAGAAAAAAAATGAAACGCCGTTAATTTAACGTCTTCCTATCCGTCTCCACATGGATCGCGATAGTATAATCTAAGTATGAATTTTTTCTTTAATATCCAAAGAATTATTAATTATTATCAATCAACTCACTCTGATTTTTACTCTTTACTTTATCACAACTTAATATAAATTTAGTAGTAATTATTATAATAATCGTAATAATAATATAATAACCACCGTGACAGTGTTCATTAGTTAATGATGTTAGTTTTTTTTTCTTCTTTTTTTTAAATCAATTGTCAATTGTAATATAATAATTAATAGCTTGCAAGTTTTTATTTTTGTTTAACGTTGTTACTATTTACTTAACTTTGCTTACAAGTTTGTTTATTTACGCGCTTAGGTATGTATGTAGGATTATTAAATTATTTGAATTTTTCATTTTAAAAACTTTTCCGCCATCCTCATCTTCCGCAATCACCTTCTCTTTGTCGAGCTTTTTATATTCGGGAAATAATGTATTATATTATTTTTTCCATCACGGATATAGGGGTGAGGCGGATGATTCTAATTTTTTAAAACAGATACGCACGGGAACCGTATTCTTTTTTTTTCACTCTGTGCTAGTATTATTAACTTCCGAATTCTCACTCTCTCTCTCGCTTTATATCTCTTATTTTTCTAATTATTAAATATTATTTTGGAGAATATTTTTTTTTTATCGCATTAATCATGTTTTGTAAATTTCTTTTTACTCAATTTTCTCTTTTACATATTTATATATATATAATATAATATATATATATATAGATTTATATATATTATTATCATTTAAAATTCATCTTCTCTAACATAATATTTTTTTCATTTTCGTATCTAGCAACGCACCGTGTGTCATATTAAGATTTTTTCTTTGATAAGTGTAATGATATACTTATTAATTATCTGTTTCTATTTCAATTATTTTGACTCAACAATATGCATATTATTTGCTTGTGTTATATCATAACTTTGTAATTGTTGAGAGAGTAATTATTGAATGAATCACTATACGACACAATAAGTTTCGTTCTATTTTCTGGGTCATATTTTGTATCGATATTTAGATCGACTACGGTGTGTTTTCGATCACTGTTGCTGAGCATACACTCGCCAGATAAACACTTGCCATGAAACTGATCCAATTTCGGCAGTGATGTGAACAACATAATTGTTGTCACAAAAATCCGTATGTGTCGATCTTTCTGAATAAAAAATCACGATCTAGCTTGAGCAAGAATCGCGAGTAAGGTGAAATTCTTATAGCGTCGCTGCGTGCTTAACTTGATAGTCGGCAATAAACATACTTAATCGACGTAAGATGTTTTATTTATCGGTAGTGTAAAGTATGATTTAATCAAATTAATTATTTGTGTTATTTTGTCAGGATTATGTTCATCTCGATAATCAGCGAAATTTAAATATTAAGAGAGAATTAATTAGTTTAAAAATATTTTTTAAAATTTTTAACTAATATTTTTTTATATTCTAATAATTAATTTTTTTTTTTTTAAATATAATTTTCCGTTTAAAATAAAATTTTTTTTTCAATAGAAAAACTAAAACACATGTGAAAGATAAAGGTTATTGGCCATTTTATTTTTTTTATAATTTCTTATTAAATTTTTTTATTTTATAAATTTTGTAGCCAATAACAATCTTTAAACATTCCCCTTTTTAGGCCAAAATCGTTGAAGTTTATCACAAATTGTCAGTACGACAAATTTTCTAGAAAAATTATTCGATATGTCCTTAGACCAAAAACATTTTCATCAACAATTTAGACTACTTCATCTTTCACATATTGAATTAGTTTGATTTATTATTATTATTTTTTTTAACTCATTATTTTGCCAACTTTCAAATAGGCCGAAAATTTATATAAACATATTTCAATAATTTTATTTTCTCCAAGATTCAAGTCATTATTGTTTTCTCTCTAATTTCTCTTTTACAAGGAAAGAATGGCGCGGGATTAAGGATAAAGATTTATCGAAAATATAATTAATAAATAAAATTTAATTAGATAATAAATAAAATCTAAACAAATCATGTTTATGGAAATGTCTTTTATTTGTGTGAATAATAAATAAAATAATAATAATTAATAAATCAATCGTTAACTAACTAAAATAGTGATTCGTGACTAGGTAAGACTCACCGTTTGCAAAAGAAAGATGTGTGTAAAATATAATACCATATTAATAATATAATAATAGTACAAGTTAATTAATAATCATAATAATAATAATAAGAATAAATTTAAAAATGGATTTCCAGTTAACCACTGGCATAGGATGATGAGGTGGGAAAAGGTTTTTGGTTTGATTACAAGAAGGATGTGCAGGACTTGATGCTCTTTATAATAAAAGAACGAGGTAATTGTGTGATATTAAATGTACGTGTTACTAATAAGATAATTTCTATAAACATATTCAGCCAAAAAAAAAGATTATTGTAGTAAAGTAATAATTAATAATGAAAATAATTATAAGTTAAGTGTGACAGAATACATAATAATAAGAACAATAAGACTAAAAATATTATTCATGACAATAATACTAGTCGGAATAAATATAATTATGTTCATAGGATAATAATATAAGAACACAAAAAAATAAAGTGTACTTAAAATTTGCAGCTATTAAAATTATGTTGAAGTTAATATAATTATGTTCATCATATACTTTTAAAATAGCAGTGTGTCATTAAATAACACTAAACAACAAGGTGAAAGCATCAGTCACCAAACCTTCATCAAAGAAAAAAAACAAATATTGTTTATGCGATTACTGGCATAGATATATATATCTATATATTTTTTTTATATATATAGAAAATTTTTATGAATTTAATTCTATATATATATTAAAATTTTTACATACTCTAATTAAAATATGTACCCGCGCCTATTCCGTACTTTAGTATATTCTTTGTCTATCCTCTGTAAAATATACTTTGTTGAAAACGCCAATGGTATTTATCCTCACGCAATCTAAATGTTTAAAACTTTCCTCAAGTTACTGTGACATTTTTTCTATCATTGAATGACTAGCCTATCCACTTAATAAGTTGAACCTATACAATCAATTTCTTTAAAATATTTCTATGCAATTCCCTCTTTAATTTTCTATACCTCAAGATGATTACATCTTACATAATAATAGTTTTTGATTGCGCAAGATATGTAAGCTATTTATGTGTATAATTATCATCATACCCATGATTCTTCGCGTTTGTTATAATTTTTTTTTATCATCTTTTCGTTGCATTCGAAAATAAATTGCGAAAATCCCTTACCTATTTCTCGCGCATTTCATTTAAACTTGCCTAATGCATATCCAACATAATAAAATAATTGTCAAGGCTACTTGTGCTTGATCTTTTTGAAAAAAATATGCTTTAAAATACTATTTACATCTTAAATAATCCTAAAGTTTGGAATATTATAAGACACTGAGACCAATCTGATCATTAAAATTCGCCAGTCAGTTTTGCACAGCCAGTTAAATTAAGATTAAATTATTTTTAATCTTAAAACGCAGCAGATTTAATTCTGCTTAAACGACGTAAAATGAAGCTAAAGATTTATTTTACGTCGTTTGGTGGCGATTAATCAAAACTTTTATCCCTATTATTTTACAATAAAGACAAATTTTTTTTAATTCTCTTATTGGTCCAGTGGCTTACATTTTCAGACTTTAGATTTCTTTGGACCAAACATGACTCTGGTTTCTTAAAATTATTTAGTAGCAAATAAATTGAATGTAATGACGATTAGAGCGAACATATGACATGGAGAAAACTCAAAAATTAGTAGAAGAGACATTTTGCCTAATTTTAGTAATAATTTCTACTTTGAATTTCGCTCTTGCACTCATTCTCGCTTTTTGTTTTTATTCTTCGCGAATTATACGATTTTTCTTGTGTTCCTTATTCTTGTTCGACTTAGATCTAGTAACATCATCGGCGTTCACTAATTCATCATTCTTTTTACTAAAGAATGCATCATTTAACGCGTGTTCTCCCTGACAAATGAATATTTGTTAATATCGATACGCTCACTTTCGATAAATTCGTCGATCTTCTTGTTGATTCCTTGACCTTAAGGCGATCCAATTCGTAGCGTTTTACAGGTTTGCCGTTTGACGACCACTGGATGTTTTGTCGCCGATAAACGTCAGCTCACCTGGTTGTTAAAACGTGTCTTGCCTTGTCCGTAGTTTAGTGTTGTTTCTTGTGAGTTTTTAGTTCAATTGAATAACTTCTCTCGCGATATGTTACTAAAGATACCTGATGTATTCTCGGCGAACAACTGTCCTGCGTCGGCAAACCTCTTGCGCTTCAGTTGCACATTGCCATCATCAAGGAAGGTTTGTGATCTTGATTGACAAATTGACAACTAATGTTGCTTATTTGTCACCGGGCTACCAAGCAGAGCAACGCAGCGCAGGCCTGCTTCACTCGAGCTGTTCCAAAAAGTTTGGACTCTTGAAATACTCGGGTACAGGGTCATCCAGCCTTGAGATTACTTTGTAAATTGCCTTTTTCCATGATTGTTCGGAATCTTTGCCACCTTGGATGGCTTTGAAAAATTCCTTTAATGTCTGTTCAACCACATACCTAAAGTTACCAGGTACCTATTGAAAAAAATATTATTTCCATTAGTATTATTGTCAATATTTATACTTGGATTATTTTAAGTATTTATTTAGAGCGTGATAAGCAATTTAATGTGTTTTAAATATGAAAATATCATTGATCATTGACACTTGATTGTCGTTTCTTGTATTTGAAAATGATACAAAGTCACCAGATATTGATAGCAACTATTAGAGATCTAAATGTTGAAGACATCTGATGATTGTTGGCACAAGAAACATCCTCATATTATATAGTGTAATGTTCAATGATATTCAATAACCATGCTTTGACGTGTTTAAAAGTAATTAAAAGATGAATAAAATAAAGAAAATCATATTTGTAAAGCATGTGCGTGTTTGTATATTTGCGCACCTGAGGACCCCATACCTCAATGTGGTTGTTGCGGTTGTAATGAAGGTTAAGCACTCGATAAATTTCCGAGTCTCCACCAACCCTGAGATCTTCCACGTTCTTTACTCCTTCTGATACCGCTTGCCTCGCGTATTTTTCCATTTGAATGTAATAAAATTCTCTGAAATAAACAAAAAAGCCTCATTAGAAAAGTCTATTAAAAGGAAATGCAACTATGCATATAAATAAAATTATAATTTAAGTTTTACGGGTGTCATTATAATGAGTTTTCCGCGTTAAAGAAAATTTCATACATTAAAAGTACGAAAGAACACAAAAGTTACCTTCTAATGAAGTAGGAAATAATGTATAAAGTAAAATAACAACTGACTTTTTAGTATTTAAGTTCATTAATTAACGCAGTTAAATAAATATAACGCGCTAATTGGTTGGTAATTACTATAGTGACCTGAGTCTTGCCGGAGGGGTTGGCAAGAGAAGAAGGGAAGAAAAAAGGCGTACGTTTGATGGTGGCCGCGTAGTTGAGGGTGAGATTCGTCGTTTCAACCTAATCGTTGAGACGGTAGTAACGACAAATGCAAAATACAATATGCGAAGGAATACTTTTAATTAACAATTCTTGTCTTATTTCAAATTGGCTGCTTGTTGAAGAATCAAAATTAGATAAACCGCTTTTTTTTAATCACATTTATTTCTAATTATAAAAAATGTGCTCTTTATTTTTCTTTAAGAGAACTAATTAAAAATTAAAAAGGTATTTGTTTTTTTTATTTTTCAAAATGATGATACAAATTGTGACATGGTTATTCTATTCAACAATGTCCAATTAAAAAATCAAGACTATTTCCAATCAAATAATTGTAACGATTACATTATTCATCAAATATGTTGTAGATGAAAATAGCATTCATATGAACATCAATATTTGTATCAGAGATGAATATATGTGTGTATGTGATAAAATTACTCCCTTCAGAGTAATCACCAATTAAGACTGCGCATTTCTCTATTTCCTCTGCATCTCAACCTGGCGCCGTATATGCAAACTCGAGATCTATAATCGAAGGCAGAAATCTCATGCAAAGAGAATATAGTGTAGCCACTAGTACATGGTATTACTCTGGCGTCTCTTCAAATCAGCGAACTGATGAATTATCAAGGGTGCATATCACCTGCACTCTATAATTCTTACTCAACCACCCATCATTCATATATTCAAGCCTGTCGAATCACTGAGTATAGACGAGAATATCTGCAAAGTGCCTAATTAAAACAAACACCCCGAGACAGAAACGGGACGACGACGTGGGAGAGATGATAAGCTCACACGGGACTCTAAGGGTTTATGCCGCGGGCGCGCAAACTTGCATCCACCCCCGCATTATGTATATAATAGACTGCTAAGAGCATGAGGGAGATGCAACTACTTCCGTCAACGACAAAAAAAAAGGCGCCGAGTGCTAGAATTGCCACTCTTCGACGACGAAGCGTGAAGAGTGTGAGCTGCTACGCGATGCGTGGCTGCAATGAAAGGACGACAGTGAACGAGATGGAGAACGCAAGAGGCCATTTGGACGCAGGTGAGAGTGCGAGGGTTTCTACAGAAATTACAATTTATAAAAGAAGGACTGATACAGCGAGTTATTCATTGTGGTTTCGTATAATTAGGGTAATAATAAGCATCACTTGAATGTCTTCAAACTTTTCTTTTTTATCATATATCTTTTTATATGCTTTCGAATGTGCTAATTGTTAAGATTTAATTATCATCAAGCTTTTGATGACATCATTCGAATGCTAACTTGAGAGATATAGATTTAAAAAAATAATTTGCAATGATTTTTATTCGTTCTTTTTGATCATTTGCATTTGACTAAAAAGTCCTTAACCAGTAGAATGTAGTCACTAAGAATAGAGGAAAACAAAACCTTTAAGAATATATACGGTTAGACCTGGCTTCTCATTTTACCCTGGTATTTCTTTAGAGTTTTTTTTCGTATACTTAAAAGACAAGTATTCAAAGTCTCTGGTGCTGTTTCTTAAGTTTTGCCAACCCCTCTTTAACGGTTTTAAGTCAACCGACCTCCGACAATACCCTGATTCTTTTCCCCTTCGACGTGACTTGGTTTCTCATCGCTCGAGACATTTACTAGCCACCTTGACCCTGAAATCTTTACCTTTGTATTACCTTCAGTGGCTTTCTTACACAAAACTTTCCCACAGTCATTTGCAAGAAGGGTAAAGAATTGTCAAGTCGAAAAGTCTTAAAAAAGGGAACAAGTTGAATGATTTTATTTTATTTTTTTCTCAGAGCAGTTAACGGAGATTTAAATAAAATAAAGTAAAATAATTAGTTATTTACAAATAAGTTGTACTAATAAATGTACATCAAAAGAATAAGTAGCATTTGATATGTGAAAGATGACGAAGAGAAAGATGTGTCAAAGCCTTTGATATTGAGGCGAGAATTTAAAGTATGAAAGTGTATGTAACTGAAGGGGGAGGAAACTGTGAATTAACGAGAGCAAATGTTTGGTTGTTACGTTTCACGATTGCACGTTTGCTTGCCAAACCATATAAGCATCTATTCATAACGCGCGTTAAAAAAAGGAATAAAAAGAAAGGTAAAACAAATAAAAAAAAGGGTGTCATCCAAGTAGAAGAAAGTAGAAGAAAAGGAAAAAATGTGCATGCTCGGTTTTTAAAAGATGTTAAAGCATTTTTACCCTTCTTAATTATATAGTATTTTACACTTTAACACCATTCTCATGAGTATTCAAACACGAATGTTCCTTTATTATTAAACGTGTATATTTTAACGCAATATTGTTGCTATTTTAAAAAAATACCCGCTGCCATTTTAATGATTTAATTTGATGAATTAAATAATTGAAAAAGGTATATATTATCATGGTAGAGTAAAGATTACATTAACATTGGAAAAACGTAAAAAAAATCCTTTACTTCTCTATTATTTGACGACGATGCTAAGCCTTGGACAATCGTTTACGATCAACGTAGCAGATGTGCTGTCGACAATGAAAACCGTCGTCGTCGTATAGGGTTCTAGTCATCCCCTTGCAAAGAGGGAGCTTGAGAAACCGGGGGTTCAGTCGCGGGGTACCAGAATGGGGAGACTAGATTTCTGGCGTCAAAGGGAACATGCACGGGTGCAACTGAGAAAGGAAAACAGGCGACGTTGGTAAAAGAGAGTTTGGTAGGGAGAAAGAGAAATGTGTAAGGGGGAGACGTGAGTCCGCATGCCGCACGCGCCAATCTTACAATGAACACTTGGCAGATCCCGTGCACTTCGGCCCCCTCTTCACACTGGCATCTGGTTGCCTTGAAGCTTTAGCTTTTCTCATTCTTCTCCCTCTCTTATTTTTTTCTTTCTCTGTACATAATTCTCACTGCGGGATGTTATGAAGAATAAGGGGTGGACTTGAATTCGTGGGGGTCTCTGGTCGTGTGCCCTTAAGTTGCCTACATCTGGTTAAAGTTTTATCTTCCACCTTTCCTATACACCACTCTATGTATATTTATTTAGGTAGTAGAGTTCATATTTAACTCTGTATATTGGAGCATTAGAACATGTAAGGTTTTTTTTTCATTTAAAAGTTTTCTTTTTTGTTGCAGGTCTAGCAAGGTAATATCGAGAAAACGAGAGTCTGTTTAGAGTATACACGGTAGAATATGATGGTAGTAACGGGTTGAAGAGGGAGCAATTGCTTTGAACAGTTTTACTCTTCAGTAGTTTCGGCCCACTCCCCCTATTTCACGTATATATACACCACTAATCTACCTATAGATACTTGGACAATATGTGTATGTATATATATATCGACACCAAAAGCTAGCTAGCAAGTTACTATTCAACTGATTTATTCTTTATTGTATTTTTCATTCCAGAATGTGACTAAAGGTATTTTTTGTCCTTGACGTACTTTGATACTAACTGAGTATAATTTCAGTCGGTCGGTTTTTCCATCGTCCTCTATACTGATTGGTTCTACATGTTATTGATGTGCATTCACTTTACTTGGCGTAAACGTCGTACAAAGACCAGCAGCAGCAACTCAATGACGTCGTCTAGTTGAGGTCATGACGCATTAGAAAGACAACGACTATAAAGAGGTGGGTGGAGAATAAAGAGATATACCGCTTTTTTTCTTTTTCTCTTGAGAGAGTCGAGCTTACGAGAACACGGAAGTAGAGCGAACTTGGTTCCTGCTGTACTCGCTGAGCAAACTTGTTCAACTTCCCGCTTCTCATCTTCTCTCTACACCGTTCTTTATATTTCCACGAGGTAACTCTCTTTGTAATTCTTTCAGGATACATCGACTAAACAATAAGTCATCTACCATCATCACTAAATCCACAAGACTTTTTTTATGTGTCACGGCAACCTTAAATTTTGCACATCTATCCTGATGTAGTTGTCATGCCCGTTGGGATGAAAATGAAAGCTAGTGGAATCCACCCAAGTAAGTACATATGCGGTTATCAAGGGAGTAAAAATGCTATGTGGGAGTACGGCGTAGGATCGTAGCGAAGAAAAGAGGAAAAAGGACAAGAAGCGGGTTAATTTGAATCTGCGGTGTGTGAAAAGATGAGAAAAGAAACGGCTAAGCCCACGCATCAAAGTATAAGTGTGGACTCACGTCAATGTGTAGGAAAGGGTTACCTAGGTTAGGGACTCGGAAAACATCCTTTGTCGAATGTATCCCTACAGGGACCGTTCAACCGCCCGGCAACTCGTTCAACCCGCTCAGAACAAAATCAATAATTCTTTGTTGTCAAGTTTACCTCCTCTTATGCTACGCTAAACCACGTTAGTTGAAGCCTCATCGTCTAAGTAAGATGATGATGCTGATGATGATGATGAAGAGCCAACATAAGATCTACTTAAGAAATCATTTTCATTTTCTTCCTCTATACTAATCTCATAATATCTTTTATTGACATTCACACATGAGAGTTGTTTTTTCTATTTACGTTTTATTTTCCTTTATTCCAAGTGTATGACTCATTGATACAATTCCGCCCTCACTAATACCGGCTAAAAAAGGGGCTGGTCGTCGACAAAAAAATTGTATCGTAAGATCATCACGTGCCGAATTCGATCTATTGAATACTGTTATGTTGAATGAAGGGATAGAA